CTGTCCTGTCACACAGATCTGCTGTCTTGTCCCTCACACAGATCTGCTGCCTGTCCTGTCACACAGATCTGCTGTCTTGTCCCTCACACAGACCCGCTGCCTGTCCTGTCACACAGACCCGCTGCCTGTCCCCTTGCAAGTCTACAGGATGTCGCAGTCGTGTTTCTGGCTGCCCTTGCCGGCGGCTGGCGTGAAGAACTCGGGCCTCCCCTCCGCCCTGTTGGCCTGCACCATCGCCTCGATCTTCTCCAGCAGCTGGGCGGCCTGGGCGCGGCCCTGCTCCCCCCTGTTCTCGAGGACGTGCAGCCTGCCCCCGCAGCGGTCCACCAGCGCCTGCAGCTGCTCGTTCTCGCCCGCGAAGGCCTCGGCGCTCTTGCCCTTCAGGTCCTTCCCGCGGGTCAGCAGCACGACGGTGTAGCGCGCGGCCTCGCCGCCGAACAGCCGCAGCAGCCGGTCCGCGTCCCGCCGCCGGTTCTCCGTGAAGGGCTCCACCTTCAGCACCAGCAGGAAGGCGTGGGGCCCCGGGGCGCAGAGGGACAGCGCCCCCGCGATCTTCCCTTCCGTGGCCTCGGAGAACCCCGGCGTGTCGACCACGACGACCGGCCTCCCGCCGGGCTCCCCCGCCCTCCGCTCGCAGGCCGTGGTCACGGCGCCGGGGGAGCGCTCCGCCCGGAACGCCTGCTCTCCCAGGAGGGCGTTCCCGCTGCTGCTCTTCCCAGTGCCCATTTTCCCCAGCAGCACGATCCGCAGCTCTCCTTGCCCTGCGGACGAGAGGCGCGGCGTCATTCCCGCGCTGCCCTGTGCCACCCTGTCGAACCCCTCCCAGGATATTGCCCCGTTTTTAGAAAACAAACTTTCAAAAGTGTGGGAATTCGCTCCCTGTGCTGGGTGAGATCTGCCAGACGTTACTATGGCCAGGAAGTCACCCAGTGGGTTTATGGGTTTATGGGAGTTGTAGTTCAAGACATCTCCTATTAACCCACTGGGTGACTCTCTGGCTGCCCAGCATCTGTGTTAGCTATCCGATCCAGCTTCTGTTCCTGCCTCTCTGCGACTGATTTAACCCACGTGCCCTGGCAGGAGGAGTAAACGTGTAGCTACAGCCAGCTCTGAAGAGTACTCGATGATTCGGGTCTGTGTCACTGGCACTGACTCGTGCTCCATCGGAGTCACAGGATCAGGTGCCCCCAGCTCTAGAAGTAGGGGTGCGCACCCCACAGCCGGGGACCCAGTGGGTTTGGCGTGGTATTTACAGGACAGGGCTGGCTCGGCAAGACAGCACCATGCCAGTCCGGTCCGGTGCAGGTCTTCGACGCAGCCGGCTGCTGAGTTACAGGACCGGATTCAGGGAGCGCCCCGCTCCGACACGCCCCTGCGAAACAGGAGCGCTGGCTCACCGCAGCGGCAGGGCTCTGCCTGGCGGGCCGGCTGGCGGCGCCGATCCTGTTCACACAAGTGCGGATCTGCCCTGGGTTTGATCCCTGTGGGAGAGGTGCCCCCCTGACTCTACCCCCCCCCCTCCCCACCTTCACAGCTCCGGATGGGGGAGACCACGTGGCCACACATTGTGTTTACACATCGCGTGTGCTGAGACAGGAACATTGGGGACCCCTTCCCACAGTGCCGTGTGAAGAGGCGGGTCTCCAGAGGGCAGCGGGGGTGTGGCTTGGAGCACAGGCCCCGCCCCCAGCCCTCTGGCGCTTGCTGTCTCATTCTGACATCACAGGAGCTGGAGGCGTCATCACTGGGAAACTCCTGCTCTCTGTGCAGGGGGTTGGGAACGTTCGTCGGAAAACGTCCTCAGCCACTGCCCACCCACTGACGCCCTCCCCCACAGAGCAGCTGCACCTGTCTTGTGAGCTCCAGGTGTTTCTTGCCCAGACCAGCTCAATCTGTGGGCAAGAGCCAGAGTCCGGGCTCTGTGTCACTCCAGACTGACACGGCTCTAAAACCTGTGGTCTATCTGGGCAATGTGCTGTGCACACCTCCTCCCCTCACACTGACCCTGCGTAGCTCTCGTCTCTCTCAGTGTCTCCTCCCTGTGCTGCCCTGCCCTGTGTCTCACAGCTCTGCTGGCAGGATCCCAGCTGCTGTCTCCCACACGCCCAGCAGTCTGTGATTCAGAGGACTCAGCGCAGGGCTGGTTCAGAGTCACAGCCTCCCGGGCTAGAGACACAGGGATATTCCCAGAGGGAATTTATGGATTCTGCAGCCTGTCGCTGGAGAGAAATGGCCTCTTCAGATTGTTCTCTGGTTGCTAGTGACGATGAACTCCTCCCCCTCCCGCTGTCCTGCAGGGGGAGGGGCTGTATGACTGCTGGCACAGAAACACGCTCCCGGCTCCTGTTTTCCATAAGGAGCTTCCCAATGGGAAAGGGAGGCGAGGAATGGTGAAGAGCAGCTCCTCCCCCTCTCCTACAGGAGCTGCACGAGGCTGAAGAGAACGGTGGCCACCCTCTGAACTGCAGGCTCTCCGTCTCCAGCGGAAAGCAGGCTGGACTCTCACCACACCCTTTCCGGTTTCTCCATCGCTACAGCCCTGGAGACTCCAGGACAGCAGGGAGAATCTGAGTCCTGCTCAGCAGCACACGGAGCCCGACCAGAACCGGGTCGGCGCGCGGCTCTGAACAGGCTGTGCCGCGTGTCAGCGGGCCTGACAGAGCAGCTCTTTGTTCTCAATCCGCGCAGGAAAGAGGAAGCAGAGAGACACACAGGCAGGAGGAAACAGCCCTCAGATCGCACTGCTGCCTCTCCAGGTGCTGCTGCAGCTCGTTCTGCCCCAGTCTGCCCCAGTCTGCCCCAGTCTGCCCCAGTCTGCCCCAGTCTGCCCCCTGGCTCTGCCCCCCCACCAGGCAGAGCAGCCTGGAGACCATGAAGAAGAGGCCCTGTGCCCTGAACGTCTCACACCCTCTCTGCCCTGAACACAGACACTCTCCACCGCGACGCCACACTGCCTGAATGAACAAGCCACGCCAGAGCACTGAACACAGCTGTGTGCATCCAGACCCAACACTACAGCCAATCTCTCAGCCTGGGCAGGACAGGGGCTCAGACTGCAGCCCCACTAAAGTCTACACCGTCTACAGGCTGGCTCGGAGCTCCTCAATCTCAAGCAGAAGACCACTGACCTGCCATAGTGCCTGCGGTGCTCCTGAGCCGGGGAGAGGGTGCTGTCCGTGTGGCGCAGGAGACGGGTGCTCAGTGCGTCTCGGCGCGCTCAGCCAGAGAGCAGGCAGGCAGAGCAGGTCCTGAGCGAAGGATTGCGGTCTCCGAGAGGTTTCGGTTCTAGCCCTTGTTTATCAGAAAGGGAGGCAGGTCCACAGGAGTCCGCCCTCTGACGTAGCTCTGTCCTCCCTCCCCCTGGACTAGTCTGCAGGCAAATGAGCTCCTGGATTGTGTAGACAGAGGTTGGTGAGCAGCGAGAAGAGATGACGTGGCAGACGTCACGGGGAGGGACTGTCAGGCTGGTCTTCCTCTTTCTGTGCCAGGCTCACAGCTCCGCACACTGGCCCACACTGCCTCTCTGCCTCGCCTGCCAGTCCCTCAGCTCTAATCAGGACCCCACACTGCCTCCATCCCTCT